GTAGTTTTGATGTCACAGAAAAAGTATCGTATATATTAAATTGATTTCTTAACTCGGTATCAGTGAAAAAGTGCGATAGGTTGAATTTCGGAAGCAATTTGAGAGTTCTGTTTGTGAGGTGCTCTGTCGATGTCCATGAGTACAAGTAAGTCATGGACGATATGCCTTGGATACAAGCTCTTACTCGTAAGTTAGTTTAGAACAATGCTGTGGAAATTTATCCTCGACGTTCTTGGAGATGATAGGCAAGATTTTTTTTTCGGCATAATTCTCTGAATAGGAGGGGCTTAAAATTTGCATCAAAAGGCATATTTAAAGATAGGTACCGTCTGGCATGCTCAGTGCTCGGTATCAATATTCGGCGACTGTGTTAGGAAAATCTCTTTTCCCATCATGGAAACGCCTCGTTTTCTGATGAAAAAATTACGCATTCTCATGCACAAAACTCACGTATATAATAAAAAAGCGAAAAATTATTGGAGGAAAGCTTATCTAATTTGAAGCGTTTCTGGCTAATTGACATGGTCATGTGGTATTGGGTCATTGCGAGAATTCGTATGTACCACTTCAATACTTGACGCATTTGACCACAAACGTTTTGTTGCTGGGTACATTATCAAAGCTAGCTAGCTGCTTGCGGGGAGCCTTTCGTTGTGTACTGGAGAACACCATCACTCACCAAACGCGGTGATTGAATGAACGCCGTTTGGTGAGACCGAATGGAACTCAATTTTGAAATCTGTGTTAGGGAAAGCTCTTTTCGCAGGCAATCGGTGATAATTTTAATTATCATAGCAACAGTTGCACAGTCGTGCAATTTTCAATAGACATTTTGAAAAGTGATAAATTCTTAATTTTAACAAATTCGTAGACATATTTCCTATTGAAAATTAAATCATCATCTCTGGTTTAAAATCAGACCACTCTCGCGACCGACTTTGGTTTTTGAAATTAAACCCCCAATGTTGCCTTAAAAATACATGGTAGGGGAAATGGCTCTAATGTTGGCCAATGGATCTAAGATTGGGCCCATCGCTTAAAATCTGTTGTTTATCAATTTTATCTAGATGAACGCGTCATTGGGACGGTACTAATGGATATTGTTGGTCGCTATTGAAAATTTAGTCGATTGCTGAATTTATGTATGGGTTCAAATTAGGGGCATTTAGGCTGACATTACGTACGGGAGTCAAACAAACCCGGCAGAACTGTCAACATTCGTGGGTGAGGAAAAGGGGCGGGGAAATTTAGGTTAGGTTTCGTGCAAATCTAATGCTGCGTTGTAGGATACTCTACTTTTAAAATATAAAACATTTAAAATTACAGATAATTTTCACCTGGAAAACCCGAAAAAATGTGGAATTTTTAAATGGAAATTTAATTACCACCCCAAAGTTAACTTCATAAATTTAATAGGCTTAATGAATACGAATTATTGAAATCTAATGAGTAATCATCGGAGGTTAGAGTTAGTTTCAACTCCGAAGGTGTTGTAAGTCAATTTCAACGGCCTTCTGTGTTAACATCAGTGGTCCTTAACCGAGTGGTCTAGTGGCGTACCCCTTAGCAAAGAATCATCAAAAATTGTACCCTCTGATTTTCAATATCGATTCTATAATAACAGGGTTACCCCAAAATTACGTTATGTCAAGGAATACCTGTATATCCATACCTTTTGTATATTAGTTTGAGTTTTGTCTGGTTTACATTGATATCCTCAGTCTTTTTGGATTATTGAATTGCATGAGCATGAGCATGATTGACCGCCCACGGTTGCTACTGTGTTATTGCCAGACCAGCTGTAATTACACAGAGAACCAATAGACGATGCTTGGGACTAGCAATCATCCTCAATGTGTAAAAACGGCTGACCTCAAACTAGGTCAGGTCAAGAAAGGAAGGGGTAGGAATGTGTTGACATGACACTCGCTTTGATGGAAGCCGAGAACACTTCTGCACTTCCACGAGGAATCACTGGTATATTGGGTAGGGTAATAAGGTTGGATTTGCAGCAGGGTTCGTTTTGGTAAACGATAAGCTGAATTGATGTCCTAACAATCATATAACACGAAGGATCTTGGGATTGAACCCACGGTCTTCTGCTCAGTAAGCAAAAACGTTTGCCACTAGGCAGACGAGCTCCTTTTTAATCATTGAGTTGCTCTGTTATTACCATGTAGTCATGTCAACAAATAAAACGATTGACGAATCTTGAATTTGGATGGACTTGAGATTAGACTCATGATGTTCTGCTCAGTAAGCAAAAACGGTTGCTCTAAGGCTACTGAGCCCCTCATATCACATTATACCGTTACTCAAGTTGTTATAACTATTCAAACCCGGCGGCACCGACGACAACAAAATACACGATAAACAAGCGATCTTACCATACATTTTTAATTTTGAAAGGTCCTGGACCACATTTTTCTGCTCAGTAAGCAAGCCACTGCAACCGACGATCTTTCAAATCCTAAAACTAAAAGCTACGAAAGAGTACTTAGGCTTTCGTTAAGTTCCACTTTCACGCGACGTTCAATGTTTCGATTTGATCTTTACGCATTGTTCAGGCAATCATAACAAGCTATGACCGGCGTGACGATTGTTTAAGCCCTGGTTAAACAAGCTTTTACGTTCTCGCATTTGGGTAGGTATGTAATGAACAACAGAAATACGCGATAATTCATATATTTTCAGCGGTTGATTATTAATTTTAAATATACTAACGGTACTGCCTACGGCGACTACGACGGCAATTACGACAGCGACTACGACGGCAAATTCGACGGCGCTTACGACGACGACAACAGCAAATTTATGGCTTACCATTTGTCTAGGATATAACACCTTTATCTGGCACCTCCACTTGAGCTTCATGTCTGCTATATGTCACTGTTTGCAAAAATATCTAATAGCAATTACCTTTGTTGTAATACTTCCTGCATTGCCATGGTCATCTGGGAGGAGGTTCGCGTCTAGTGCTTTCCCCAGGAACCGTTCACGGCCACCAGCTACCGACCGTCCAGTCTTGGGTGTATCCAGCGAGGCATCCTTTAGCTTGCTCACAATCTCCGACAATGGCGAGAGACCAGCAGACCAGCACTTTTGCAAGCCGTAAACTCCCTGATTCACGGCAACGTCGGCCACCGAATCACCACCAAAACTCGCGGCGGACACATTATGAGCACTTTCCCCGGCTAATTTATCAACAGGACCGTGTTCAAACTCGCACACGGTGACGAGACTCTCGATAGAACTACACACCGAAAGCGTGACATCCGAACTCGGTGAACTGGCCTCCCGGTAGGCAATGGAAATCACAAGCACACTTACACACCGCTGGTTACAAAAAACACACCCGTGCAAAGAAACGGATCCAATAAACGTCACTCTCGCGAAAGCAAACCCAATCCGGCCTCCCGGTAGGCAATGAAAATCACAAGCACCTCAATCTTTTTGGATTATTGAAATTTCGCATTATTAAAACTGTCAGATATAACTATTATGCTATATTGTCTCCAAAATAGTTAAGAGGTTTAACTTATCGCGAAGCTTATAAAAGTGTTGGTGATTCCTCGAATATTAAACATATCAATAAAATCATTAGACTGATGCAAAATATGGCTTCAAATCGAGTCCTGATTAGCCTCCCAAAATTTCAACTCTTTTGGTAAGAAACTGACTTGAACTTGACACAAACCGTTTGTAATTTATATGGAATCACTATGGGTTAACCAATCTAGCCTTCTAGCTTTTTTACATTTGCACTTCTAAAAAGTTTTAAAGCTTTTCTTATGGGAAATTTTCTCGTTTTCCAGTCAATCGTCAATTTAAAAAGTTATTAATTGCTTAAGAGATTGATAATCTTATGACAGCTGTTTTGTGGGCAAAACAACACCCTCTAATTTGGTAGTCATTCCCAGTAATGACTACCAAATAAGGGAGAGAGATCCGTTCTATAGCCATCACTTAGTTCCAAAGTGATCTATAATACTTATTGAAGATGTTAAATATTGAGAATAAACATTGTTGATCAACCTTACCCAATTCGTTTCGGAAGCTAAATAATCAATATGTAAAGAACTTATCAGCAATACTCACCACAACCAAATTCCAATGAAAACATGAAATACTTTCGACAGACATTGGAACTTTTCCGTTTTATGGAATATTTTTTGGCGAACACTTGATGTGTCTTGCGTACACCCTTAAGGGTACACCTTTTCCCGATCTACTTAGGCTAAACTTGATAGCTTACAAAATACACAGGCCGGTATGGGTCAATTTCAGAAGCTCTTTGGTGAACATCTAGGCGTACAGGTCCAGGTCCCATGGGACCCATGGGTCAACTCAGAATGGCATTAAGGTTTAAGACCTTGTAGGTCAGTGGCCTTAAATATATTTTAGGACAAGGGCAGTAGACATGTGAGCGTGTTTAAGGGATACATATTAAGATCTTTCTAGACTGTCGATGGGCTTATAACTGTTCTATGTTTTTCCTTATAACAGGGGACAGTTATGCGTCTATCGGTGAACTACATGTTGAATAGAAAAAAAGATCCTTTGTAGCAATATTCCTTGAACAAATTAATGACTTAATTTAAAAACGCATGGTAAATTTCTGCCCGTCTGAAAATGTGTTTAGATAGGTAAGCAATTCTTCACGTGATTATCTTAATACAACAATTTTTATATAAAATACATTGGTTGATATCACGAGATTAACATTGTGTTAAAAAATCCAGCTAACAAAGAAAAAAAAGTTGATAGTTTGATACCAAAAAAAGAAAGCAAATTATGTTTATAGTTGCAAATGAATATGGTAAGTTAATCGAATGGCCGGTTTGTACCTACTCTAACTGTCAGTCCTTAAAGTTCCAGGGGATACTGCTTATAAGATTCAATTACTTGTTTTTTTTTATCTAACTAAGTACCCAATTGAATAGATAACGAAGAACCATTGTTTCATAATGCACCGTATGCTCTTCATTCCTTCCCCTCAGTGCCAATCGGCCGCCCTGGACGAGCTGTTCGGTAACCCGGAGGATTGCTTCACCCGGTACCAATCGGCACAGATTCTGCTTCACTCGCTGGCGCAGAAGTGCAGTCACCCCCAGGACAAGATGCTCCTATCGAAATGTAAGTTTGCATTCCATCATCATACACCTCGTACTGTAATTCGAGGAACGCAATGTTTGTACCTGATTACTAATCAACTGGTTCTCTCCATCTTCTCGCAGACAAAGACGCCGTCGAGAAGCGGCTGTACATCCTCCAGCAGCAGGGTTACATCTACGCGACCGATGAGCTGTCCTGAACCAGCGCCCTGCAGACGCTCAGGAGACGGCTGTCGAAAATCTTCTGACTAGATACTTCTGGGACTGCTGCTATTGCTCCTGCGTGGGCGGTCTGAATCATCGTTATCATCTATGTAAGCAGAATAAGAAAGATAAGAAGAATGCCGCGCGTTTGCGGGTGACGAATGAACTGCGGTTGCTGAACGGGACGAATGAGTGCGGAATAAGGCGTGATCGTGAGCTCGAATGTTTGAATGGAAAATGAATACCGAACTCGAAGAGAAGCCCATCTACAACTCCCACTCGGTATCGGTGAGATTTATGTTTTTTTTTCTATAGGCTTATTTATTCGTATATTTTATTTTTGCAATCATCATTGGAAGAAAGTTTTCGGAAGCGCTGTCGCTTTTCTTTTCCCAGCGAACGGCTGTAAATACAATCAAGGTAGCTTTTTTGAAGAGTAGGATCAGCAAAATTAAAATTTACTAAAGTTTTGGCCATTCTAGATGAAGCCGTAAAGTAGTTGAACGATTGTTAAATGCAATTCTATGGAACGCTTTCGTATGTTGTTATGTCGATGAATTATGAAAACCTATCTGAAGCAAATTATATGCATAGCTTATGTAAATATACGCAACAGTTGTACTCACGAAAATGTACATAGGTTGCACCAAAATCAAGGCGAAGGGCTTCTGTATGATTCGCTGCATCTGATGTGTGCATGCTTGTTTATCAGCTAATAACATCGCATTCATATCTAGAGCGCAGTAACGTGCTTGTTTTTCGGTGGTATCAGAAGTTTATTTTCAAGCCGTCATCGAAATTTACTTGACACGCTTCCTAGCTTCGCCAATGATGACGACGAGTTTGCTAAATTTACAACAATATTGCAATTCTTAACTGGGTGAAGATTTCCTTCAACCGATCAACGCTTTGACGTAAATACCGTGGTAAATACTCCAACTTGATAGGGTTGAAGATTTCACTCGTCTGAAACGACTCGTCAGCTAGAGAGGTCTTTTTATACGTACAACAATCGAGATGTGTGGGAATACAGTTTAGCAACTGCACCTGCTCAAATACGATCCACATAACGGAGGCGTTTCAGTTGTTCCCAATTTCAAAGACGCAACACGAAAAAAGTTCAAATATTGATAATATAAAGAACATCATTCTATTTTCGGTATAAATCCTTTGTGAATTTATGGAGCAAAAGCCTAGATGAAATGTGTTCAATAGCATCAATATTTGGATCAATCAAAAGAAGCATCTCGAACCAGACATGTCTCAATTTTACGCTGTGGCTAGGTTCCTATTTCGTTCCAAGCAGTTTTAGTTCCACTGATCCATCACGTGAGTGTGATATAGGGAGAAAGGCATAACCATACCAATATGATAAAGTAAAACGTAGTACCTAAGTACAAAAAATAACTAACAAACAAACTCCCCCAAGAAATAACGAACTAGCAAATCTGAATAAACCTAACCCTTTAACTGAGCTGGGTGTTTGTCTACGATGTTTCATCTCCGGGAGTGACCTTTGTAATACTCTCGTTAGATAGCAGTAAGATCAAGGACACCACAGCTGGATTCTATGAAGGACGCAAGCAAAAAAGGCTCCGGATAGCATAACGCGTAAGCTATCCGATACACAGTTCTGAGTTGAAGTCTTCTAAAAAGGCAAAAACACATACATACACATAATGTTAGAGGTAAACTACCATCGGGTCAGTGACAATGAACATACATACTATCTTAAATAAAGGGGAGATAAGCTACTCAGAAATCGCCACAACTGTTTGATTAAATGAAAACAAGGTGTCGATTTCTAACCATGAAATACAGCAAAAGCTAGTGGATAATGAGAAGAACAAGTAAATAATGGAAAAGATAACCCAATATTATTATGAACAAATCAGAAAAGAAAACAAACAAACTCAAACCATATGTTAGCGGAAAAATCTATAAAAGAAAAAAAAGAACTACAAACAGAAAAAAATCTTCGTAAAACATTAATAAAAAAAAAGGTAATAAAAGTAACGAAATGTAACGACCGGCAGTTATGCTTGATCCGAAATGTCCAAACTTGTTGTTCCAGACTTGTTTATATATTCTGAGTTTTTATCAGCACTCGCACGGATTATACCTTTATCGGAAATCAACCCACAACAGATAAAATGGTAAAAATAAATTAACCATTACGAGTATCAGCTCCAAAGTAATCTATGTCAAGGATGCACGTGCCACATTGGTTACCAACGTGTATGGTGTAAAATTCACCAAATGGTCTTTATAGCAGAAGAAAGCAACCTTACTAACCACAGCTATTGTCATCCCGTTAGGTGAACTCTATCGGCGCTATTGTTTCCAATTTAGAATTCAATGACTATGCTCTGCAGCTCGGAAATTATAACCAGCCTTTGCTCCGGTGGAGTAATTCGTACGATGGATTTTTCCAGGTTGCCTTTTCTTCAACTACAGCATCATCAACGTGCACTGCCCACACGAAGGGAGACCCGACGACGAGAAAGAAGCGTTCTATGCGCAGCAGGAGCAGGTGTACGACGGCTGTTCGCAACGGGACGTCAAAATCGTCATCGGAGACATGAACTCTCCGGTAGGACGGGAGGCAATGTATAGACCGGCAATCGGGCCAAACAGCCTGCATGCCGTATCGAACGACAACGGCAGTAAGACCGAGATCGCGAAACGATGGAAAATCTAACCGATACACGGAAGTTCTACGAGAAGCTAAATAGTTCGCGCAAAGGACTTGGACGGTAACGAGTGTGAGGTGATTGAGAGGTGGAAGCAGTACTATGACGAGCACTGCAACGGTGAAGCAGCAGAAAACGAAGGTGGCAGGGCAACAGCCCTTGAAGCACGCGCAGAAGACGACAGGCTACCGGCCCCTGATTTTCAAGAAGTTGAGGAGGAGATCGGTCGGCTGAAGAACAACAAAGCAACTGGTGTAGAGCAACTACCAAGTGAGCTATTAAAATACGGTGGTGAAGCACTGGCTAGAGCGCTGCACTGGGTAATTGCCAAGATTTGGGAGGAGAAGATATTACCGGAGGAGTGGATGAAAGGTGTCGTATGCCCAATCTACAAAAGGGCAACACGTTGGATTGCTGCAACTACCGCGCGATCATACTGCTGAGCGCCGCCTACAAGGTATTCTCCCAAATTCTATGCCGCCGCCTGTCACCATTTGCAAGAGAGTTCGTGGGGCAATACCAGGCGGAATTCATGGGTGCCCGCGCTACCACGGACCAAATTTTCGCAGAAATGCCGCGAATACAACGTGCCCACACATCATTTGTTCATCGATTTAAAATCCGCATACGACACAATCGATCGAGATCAGCTATGGCAGATTATGCACTAGTACGGATTTCCCGATAAAATGACGCGATTGGTCAAGGCGACGATGGATCGAGTGATGTGCGTTGTTCGAGTATTGGGGACACTCGAGTCCCTTTGAATCTCGAAGGGGGTTACGGCAAGGTGATGGACTTTCGTGTCTGCTTTTCAACATCGCGTTAGAAGGTGTGCCAGCTTCAGCTCCTTGGCTTCGCCGATGACATTGACTTCATGGCACGGAACTTTGAGACGATGGCGGAAATGTACATCAGACTGAAGGCTAAAGCTAGGCGGATTGGACTTGCCATAAACGTATCAAAGACAAAATACATTAAAGGAAGAGGTTCTAGGGAAGACAATGTTAGCCTCCCACCCCGAGTTCAGATTGTCGGTGACGAAATCGAGGTGGTCGATGAGTTCGTGTATTTGGGCTCACTGGTGACCGCCAAAAATGATACCAGCAGAGAAATTCAAAGACGCATTATGGCAGGGAATCGTGCCTACTTTGGATTACGGAGGGTCGAATAAAATTCACCGTCGCACGAAGTTGACTGTCTACAAGACGCTGATTAGACCGGTGGTCCTCTACGGCCACGAGACCGTGTCTATGCTCGTGGAGGACCAACGCGCCCTTGGTGTTTTCGAACGGAAGGTGTTGCGTACCATCTACGGTGGAGTGCAGATGGATGACGGAACGTGGAAGAGGCGAATGAACTACGAATTGCACCAGCTGCTGGGAGAACCATCCATCGTCCACATTGCAAAAATTGGGGGAAAAAGGAACAAAGAACAAAGTCAGTTTGTCATTGTCAGTTCATCTCGGTGAGCAAACCGTTAAATCTGAACCGGAGAAATGGCGCCTTTTTGCTCAACATTTCATTAGTTCGTGCAATGAATCTTCGACCTCACCAAATCAAATCACGATTGCTATAAGCGATTCTCCAACATTTGAGCTCCGTCCGTTTCACATCAGTGAACATACCGTCAATCTAACTCTTCAAAGGATGAAACTCTCGTTTGCTGCCGGGCCAGGCGGCATTCCTGCGTCCGTTCTGAAGCTGTGTTCGGAGTCGTTGCTCACTCCCTTGGTGATGTTATTTCATCTGTCACTACACGAGCGTAAATTTCCTGAGGCGTTGAAATTTTCCCCGTCCACAAGAAAGGCGATAAAAGGAATGTCCAGCATTACAGAGGCATCACATCACTATGTTACTGCTCCAAAGTGTTCGAGATCATCATCAATGAGGCGCTCTTCAGCTCTTGTAAAAACTACATCTCCACGGCTCAGCATGGATTCTACCCAAAACGGTCAGTTACAACCGATTTGACCGAATTCGTGCCGCTCTGCGTTCGTACCATGGACACGGACAAACCGACGTTGTTTACACTGATCTCAAGGCTGCATTTGACCAAGTAGACCTCAACATTCCTTTGAGCAAGCTTGAGAAACTCGGAGTGTCTGGATCCTTCGTCTCGTGGTTCAAATCTTACCTTACGAACCGTTCGCTTTGCGTTAAGATTGGAGCTTCTCGTTCTGAAGTGTTCACACGAACGTTTTCCGGCGTTCCACAAGGAAGTAATCTGGGACCCCTTGCTGTTTTCGCTTTTCATCAACGAGCTTTCGCGTCTACTGCCACCTGGATGCCGGCTATTCTACGCTGACCATGTCAAAATGTATGTGGTTATCAATTGCATCGCTGATTGTGAGGAGTTGCAGCTGACTGTGGATCGTGTGCAGAGTTGGTGCTCCCGTAACTTCTTGACACTCAGCATCAACAAGTGCAATGTGATATCATTTCACCGCCAACAAAACCCGACAATATTTGATTATTCCATTTCCGGGCAAACATTAGAGAGGATTTGCCAGATCAAAGATTTGGGAGTAACACTCGACTGTGAATTGACCTTCAAACCGCACTTCAATGACATCCTGACTAAAGCTAACAGGCTGTTTGGCTTTATGTTCTAAATATGTGAAGACTTTCGCGATGCGCTTTGCCTGCGGGCGCTGTATTGTTAGTTAGTACGTTCAATCTTAGAGTATAGTCAACCGGTGGAAACTAGCTATTTTAAATTGGCTCACTACTTGACTAGCCCATTGGTACCAAGTAAATCGATTAACAATAACCGGTACAGAGAAAGTTTGTTCGCTACGCGCTTCGTCATCTGCCCTGGCGTGACATGGCTAACTTGCCGTCTTACGTGGATCGCTGTCGTCTGCTTGGAATCGACACCTTGGATCAAAGAAGAAGCTGTGTTTGCTGCTAAAATCATACAGCGTAATTTTGTACATCTCGCAGCTCGTAATCTGTAATATGGGTTGAATAACCCTATCCGTGCCGTCGCTAATGCGTTTGATGACGTCTATGCATTGTTTAACTTTAATGTGCCGTTACATGTTTTTAATAGAAGACTGTCCTGAATTGATACGTGTCCTGTTTTTGTTTTAATTATATATTTTTTATTATAGTCACTTTAACGCTCTTGGGTCATTCGTGACTTGTCCGGGGGTGAGATTTGAACTCGTGATTTTGGCGTGAGAGGTATGGATGCTAACCACTACGCCGGGGTCGCCCCCTTTAATTATACATTTTTAATTCAATAAGGCAACCATATGTCAGATGAATCATTGAAACAATATATAAATAATTAAATAAATATCTTTTAAAAATAAAAGTCGTGTCATTTTTGGCCTGCCTAACTTTGTGTTTCATTGCCATCATAGCACGACAAGTTACGTTTTCATAATAATGTTGAAAACGTTATCCGATTTCATAATTCTATCGATCCACAGTGTTTAAAAAACTAGCTCATTCAGCAGTACGGGCAATTTTGGATATCTTTATGGGGCTGTACCCAAACCACGTTGACACCTGACGTTCCGACTATAGCTGATATTTGCGCCGTTAAGTTCTCGAAATTCCATTGATGCTATTATTGACGGTATTTATAAGATTTAAGACAGTTAAACATAATCAATGAAGGTTGTCATAATGGTTTGGGATTTCAATATACATACAGTATTCCCTCCATATGAACCGTTGCGAGCGAAAGTGGCACATAAGCCGTTTTTATCAAGTTCGACGTTTTTGTAGTGTTTCAGTTTGAAACTTTACTTCTATTGATATGACTGAGGAGACGGGGGTGATTATAGTA